GTATCGGCATACGAGATTTATAGCCCATTCGAGGGCTGAAAATAAAAATCAAATAATAAAGAAACGAAATTTTACAGATATTTCACTCACCAAAATTAACTAAACATACTCACGAAAATTTGGCATATAGTATAMACAGTTATCTCACTCTGAGTTCTTAAGTGCTTTTAGAATACGGCTCAAAAAACCACAATGTATATAAAATAATTATAAACAGGAAAAAACGTTWACTTCGGCTGCACCGAAGCTTATATACCCTTCACAGGTGCATTTCTTCTAGTAACTATGTATTCAGTTTATATGGAAGCTATATGCTATAGTAATCCGATCTGAACCATTTCCTTGGAGATAGCATTGTTGTATTAGAGAATAATCTCTAAAAAATTTCGGAACGTATCTTGGCAAATGCAAAAGTTTTCCATATAAGAACTTTTTTCCGATCGTTTAGTTTGTATGACATCTATACCTTATAGATGTGGTCCGATATCGGCAGTTCCGACAAATGAGCAGCTTCTTGAAGAGAAAATGACGTTAGCAAAGTTTCAAAACGATGTCTTAAAAACTGAGGCACTAGTTCGTATATATAGAGACAGGCGGACAGACAGACAGACGGACATGGCTAAATCGACTCAGCTCAACATACTGATCATTTATATATAATATATACTTTATAGGGTCTCCGACGTTTCCTTCTGGATGTTACAAACTTCTTGACAAACTTAATRTACCCTGTTCAGGGTATAATGATTGAAAAGGCTCGAATATACAGGTGAACGATAAAGACACCAGGGCAGAGCACATAGAGAGCCATACAAAATTAATTGGTCATTGCATTCGTGATCTCACTAAAACAACCGTATATCGGAAACTAACTTTGACTGCATTTTCTCTAAACAGACACAATACGTAGCTTTATACGTTTATATCAAAATGTTTGTTAACTTTGGCTTTTAATTATTAACTATGGATATTAGTTTACCGTTATTTCTGGAACCGCTAGTCTCTGCACGAATTGATGGGTTTATATGGGTTTCCCCGGATAAAAAACAGACTTTTTTMAAATTTTTTGGGGATATAAAAAATAAATCTATGAGAAAAAATGAGAAAATTAAACTATAAAAAAAAAATTCTGCAGCTTTTGAAAAGTATTATGTTAAACTCGGCCAAAGATGCGCTCGCGTTGGCAGGATAACTCCTTACAGAATCAACTCGTGTCAACACATGCTCTAGTTAAAACCTTAACTTACTAGAATTTGGACGCGAATTTTTTTTTCAAATAGTTGTTATCGAAATAAAAAATCCTTAGTCCAAGACTTTAAAAATTGTATCTCATAGACCTATGTATGTAAAATTTTACGAAGATCGGTTGAGCAGTTCTCGAAAAATCTCGCCAACCACCTTCAAAAACACACTTTTGAGAAAAACGCGTGTAAAGGCGGCGCACATGTTCTCAACTTGAAAATTTTGGAAAATCTTCTAAAATTCTTGTGTAATAACATTTCACATATGAAAGACAATAAGAAAAAAACAATTTTTTGGAATTCGTAAGCTCATGTAACCCCTTATGTTACTTGCGGTGTTTTCTTTTGAGCCAGTTCCTTCTAGACGTGGCCTTTCCAGCAGAGAGAAGTAGAGGAATATGAAGACTTATATTCCTTTACTTCTCCCGATGGGCTCCGCGTCGAATACTCTCAGAGCTTATTTGTAGTGCGGGGATACAAAATTAAGACATAGCGGTATATAGGCCTCGACGAAGTGGTRGTGYCTGTCGATMGTCTTTTCACGGGTCTTTTTAAGGGGTACGTAGGGTATCTGACCTGTTTTGTTGACATTTTTTTCATAGAAATTTTTATTCTACAATAGAACTTCTTTCACATATCATGAGTTATACGTATATCGTGGAGTGTATAAAAAATTTCATGGGAATTTTTTGATGACATCTCTGGCAGAAATGGCTGGGTGAATGAGATGCGTTTTCTTTCACTGGCGGACACGATTTGTCATCTGAAACACATGAACCTAATTTATTCTTAAAAAGTACATGAAAGATTATCGTCTTTACTAGAATCATGAAAATCGTTAACGTTTTTTTTTTTAATTTTTCCCAAGGTTTGTTTGACATCAATTTTGTAACGCGTTTAAAGTTTGAAGTGTGCACTCCGAGCGCTCCGAACGTTGAGCRGTATTATTATTTTTKGGCCTTTTTCCAAACCTTCCAATAGTAAAGTGGGTTTCTACATTAATTCTAATTATAAAAGAARAGCAAATGCAAAATTTTTTTTTTTGGGRAAAAGATTACCCAACTAACCCTTAAGACTGATTTTCCATTTTTTTAAGTTTTTTAAATCATTTTTTTATAACAAAAAGCGAAGCTGTTTGTATTTTTTTTTGTTTAATATTACCAGTATTTATTATTTATATTATTGATTATTGCAAAACAATTTTTCTTAAATATTATTTGCCTATAATAAGAGATGCCGTATTTTTTAAATTTATTTGTCTTTTTGTGTCAATAAGAATTTACATAGTAAAAAAAAAAATTATTTATGTTTGTGCTAGTAAGAGTTGCTTTTTTAATTTATGATGCTTTCTGTGACACTAAATGTGGTCAACTTAGGAAAAAAAAATTATTTCATTTTTAAAATTTATGATGTTATTTATTTTTTGTGCTAATAAAAGTTGCCACATCTTTTAGAATTTGTGATATTTTTTGTGTCAATATGAGTTGCCATCTTAAAAAGTTATTTATTTTTCTGTGCCAATAAGAGTTGCCATATTTTTTTAAATTAAAATTATTTTTTTGTCAATAAGACTTGCCATTTTAAAAAAATTATATAATTTTTGTGCCAAAAAGGTTGSCATCTTAAGGGCGTATTCTACTCTAGAATTTTGAAAAGTTCAATTTTTTTTCCTATATTTAAAGTTTAGACCCTTAAGAATATATCGTCCAAAGGATTTTTAAAAATTAATTAAGAGCTTCAGCTACTTTAGTGACGCAGTAGCTAGCGCACTAATAAATGACTTAGACTGCCTGAAATTTGACTCACTTTTTTAAACGCGTTTTTCTCGAATCTACTTTTTTCCATACAGTGCCGGCATTATCTCAAGTTATATACAACCGATTTACTTGAAATTTTGTGTGAATCTTCTTTATACAATCCTTTATCGTTTCTACGTCAAAATTTTTGTTTTTAATATTAAAAAAAAAAATTCAGAAATTTCAAAACAACAAAAAAAAAAGCGTAAAAAATGGTTTTGATTTTCAGGCAGTCGCCATTTTTTAAAACAAAAAACAAAAAAAAAATATTTTTGTGTTCCCTGAGGTAGGGACTATAACAGCATCCTTACTTACTGATTAAGAATGTCTTTTGATTTTTTTTTCAGGATCAAAGTCACCAGGATGCGCCATTTTTTTTTTACACCTGTCTCTAACCCACAATTTTTATTTTTATTTTAATTTTTAATATTTTTTTTGTAAATTATTTCTCCTGTGTTCTTAAGATATCTATAAAAAGTACCATAAAAAATGGATTGTAAAAATATTTTTTGGTTTTTTTTTATATAAAATTCAAAAAACTGCCCAATATTTGATTTCTAGACTAGAATACCCCCTTAAGAAAAGTTGCCATATAAAAAGAATATCAATAAGAGATGCTATATGTATATTTTTTATTCATTATTGCCGTTGTCTAACTATGAAGTATTTATTTTTTTTAATATTTTTTTTTTTTTTACATAAGTGGTAGTGTCGATAAAATGGTACTAAATTGAAAATTAATTACTACTTTACTGTTGTGTATATCATAATTACTTAATTGAGGTAATTAGAATAACTCGCCAAGTGGCTTGATCGTCAATTCATGAATCTGTAAGAAAAGCCGACAGAAATTAAGCCGTTACAAAACCAGAGAAATAACTGTTAGATTACAAACCTGCACATGTGGTGGTGTTTGCAGGCAATAAATCAAGGCATCGGCAATATCATCGGCGGTAAGGCGTGAGAAATCTTTGAGCTCGTCGCGAATGCGYTGCGTTATAATTTCAGTTTCAACGAAACCGGGGCTAATGCTCTAAAATAAATTTAAAATAAATTATTAAACAATAAAAGGTGAAAAAAGAAAAGAACAAGSAAATCCAATAATTTTTACCGTAACTTTCACTTTAGTGCGCTCATGGTTGAACTCGTTCCGATAAACTTCGGTTAATGCCGTTATAGCATGCTTGGACGGTGCATAGATGCTCATTGGCACATTCCCAGTCGTCACYTTATGCCCGGCTACGCTGTTCATCAGAAAGACATGGCCCTCACCGCYATGCGCCTTCATCGAGCGGAATGCCTCGCGTGTGGCATACACCACGCCTAATATATTAGTTTCAATGATATCTCGTATATCCTGCGTGTTGCCATCGGCCAACATTGAGCTGTTGCGCAGTATGCCAGCATTGTTTACYAAAACCGCTATGGGGCCAAATTTGCTTGTGATTTCCTTGAAAGCAGCAATCACTTCATTCTCATTGCAGATATTACAGCGGATCGCGTGTATGCGTTTGTGCGCCTCAGCGGACGCTGCGTTACGTAATGCCTCAATGCGTTCGACGCGCCGTGCGAGACCCACTACAAGCATACCGTTATTTGCGAGATATTTCACAATAGCTGCGCCAATGCCGGAACTGGCGCCGGTGACTACCGCGACGCGTTTGTGCCAACG